GAATAGCTGATGGGAGGGGATATACGTCACGTTTAAAGCGCTCATATCGGCCAAATTTGTCATCACCATAATAGTCCAGGCTGTGAGGCCGCTCCCGTTGGGAAAATGTTTCTGATTCTGTTTCTTCGTGGATTCCGGTTCAAAAATGTCCCCTTTAAACAAATCTGAAGTGCCGGGCGAAATTTTTGGGCAGAAATTGTTTAAACAATTTTTTTTAAATAAATTCCAAAATTATTTTTTTTTAATCTGGAAAACGTTTTTTTAGGTTTTTTGGGTCATTTTAAATAAAAAAGGTATCTTGTCGTTTTTCTCTAAAGTTGATAGTTTTCGAGTTATAAGCGATTTAAAGTCTGAAAAACGCGAAAATACGCATTTTTGAGGCTTGAAAACACATATGTAAATTATTATTTTTGAGGTTACCAAGTGTCTAAATTGAAGTTTAAACATTCAACTTCAAGATTGTGAAGAGTAATCGGGGCTTATTTTAATTTAGACTGTTGTTTTTTAATTGTTAAATATGCGCGTACACTCGATTTTTCAGCCGCCGCGGCGCGGCGCGCTAGAGTGCGCTTCTATCGTACTTATGCATAGTTTACATATACACTTACGCAAAAAAACCCGAACAAATCCTTGAAGTTTATTAACATAGTTTTTTCCATAATTTATTTATGTAGGTATTAATTATTGTCATTGGGCTAATTAAATAAATCAATCATCGCAATGTAATAACCGTATATATTTTTTTTCTTCCAAATTTGAACAATATAATTATTATTTATTGAGTATATATTTATTTATATCAATTGTAAATAATATTTTTAAATTATTATTTAAATAATACAATGCAGTAAATATTAATATTAGTAAACTTAATTTTAAATTGCGCGGTGTTTAAAAACAATATACTATCGCAAAAATGCAAGTTTTTACCTGTTTAACAATCGCGCGCTCATACTTGATTTGTTATTACTTAAACGATCATTAGGAAGACTATTGTTTAATGCCCATTAAAAGGGTATTATATTATTAATGTGTTATTAAAAAAATTGTGAATGGATTTAAAATGTCTTTTTCCGTACCTCTTCTTAAATGAAAACTTACCGAAGAAAATTTAGTTTGTATTTTTTGTAATAACATCAACAATATTAAGTTAGTGCAAAAACCTAAAGTAGATTTTTACATAACAATACAAAATGCTGCTCTTCGACGAAAAGACAGTGTGACTGAAAAATTTAATTTAATCTAGCCAATATACCTTGTACCTCTGACGCACTTTACCAACACTTGTTAAGAGCTTTCGCTAAAACATATATTTGGCGAAATGCCATATATTCCCGCTATCAAACTCTCGATTTTACACAATATGGATATTATATGTCTGATAGTGGTGGGTTGGGAAACCGTGCAAATGCAAAAAGACTTGCAAAACTAATGCTTGCAACTGCAAGAAAAATCATGTCAACTGTGTACCATTATGTGGATGTGATTTAGATTTTTGTGAAAACAAAGATACTTTTACTGAGTGATATTAGTGTGTTATTTAACAATCTTTTGTACAATTATTTTATGTAACTATTATTAGACTTTAGACGAAATTTATATTATAACTCAATTGATATAAATAAATATGTACTCAATAAATAATAATTATTTGTAAGTATATGTAAACTATGCATAAGTACGATAGAGGCGCACGGTAGCGCGCGGCGCCGCGGCGGCTGAAAAATCGAGTGTACGCGCATACTTAACAATTAAAAAACAACGGTCTAAATTAAAATAAGCCCCGATTACTCTTCACAATCTTGAAGTTGAATGTTTAAACTTTAATTTAGACACTTGGTAACCTCAAAAATAATAATTTACATATGTGTTTTCAAGCCTCAAAAATGCGTATTTTCGCGTTTTTCAGACTTTAAATCGCTTATAACTCGAAAACTATCAACTTTAGAGAAAAATGACAAGAGACTTTTTTTATTTAAAATGGCCCAAAAAACCTAAAAAAACGTTTTCCAGATTAAAAAAAAAATTATTTTTGGACTTTGTTTAAAAAAATTGTTTAAACAATTTCTGCCCAAAAATTTCGCCCGGCACCTTCAGATTTGTTTAAAGGGGACATTTTTGAACCGGAATTCGCGAAGAAACCGAATCAGAAACATTTTCCCAACGGGAGCGGCCTCACAGCCTGGACTATAAGGTCCCCTTGCCATTATGTCAATTTCAGTACTGATTTAAGTACTAAAAATATTAGTTATAAATATGGAGATAAAATTACAAATTGGAGGAAAAGAGCAGACAAACGTGGTAGAGGAAGACGACATCACGCGTATCACGAAAAATTGGCAACAAAGAGCACAAAATTGCAAAGAATGGAGCAGTTTAAGGGAGGCCTATGTCCAGCAATGGACGTGATAAATGAAGGCTGGATGATGATTGTCCGATTTTCCTTCACTTTGTTTAAAATTTTTAAGAATACTGTATACAGTTCTCGTAGACACTTTAGTAAAATCAATACACAGAGTAATTACATTGTAGACCAATATACTTTTATTACTTTTATACTTACACGTCCACAATACACGTTGTATATAGAGTGGCCCAAAAGTCTGGAAACAGCCAATTATCTCGTAAATTGCTAGTTATAATTGTACAAAATTTAATTGACACCTGTTTTGGGATACGGAGATTCCATATTTGATATTTGCAATGTTGCCAGATTTGCCGCTTCTCTTATATTATTAGTAACTTTGGTTTTTCAAATTTGTCACCCTGTATATTCAGTCATTATTGGAATTTCCTATTCAATACGAGTTCAACTATATGTAACACTTAGCTTTTATGTAGTCTGAAAGGTCTGAAATACATAAAACTGCAAAATATGTAGATTTTATTAAATTTCAATATTTAAATGTAGAATGCTGTGATTTTGACATTTGTTCACCGTTTACATTAGTAATTAAAACTGACACCCCCTCTGTGCTCAGTGGTAAGAGCGCCTGCCTTTAAACCTAAAGGTCGTGAGTTCGAATCCCACCTGGGTGGAAATTTTCGTTTATTAAAAAAATTAATAAATGAAAATAATTTCTATCCTTGTGTGATCGGTACACACCGGAGGGACCGCAGACGTTCGGATACAATTAGCGTTTCTTAGCAAAGACAATGACGTCGACTTTGCTAAGTATCAAGACAATTACTCTACACACACAAACACACACACACACACTACATTAATAAACTTATCTTGATTGAGACTGGCTGAATGACAATTGTCCAAGCCAAAACACCCACAAAAAAAAACTAAAACTGACATTAGTTGTGTTTCGAAATGTTCTACAAGATAAATTGCTTCTCTAAAATGGCTCTTAACGAAAAATAAAGAATTACTATTCTAATGACGAGAGAGTACGGTGACAGAAAAAAATCTTATTGTGAAGTAGCCAACTTGTTCAATAATGCTTTCCCAAACCGTTCTCCTATTCATAAGGCAACGGTACAAAAAAATGTAAAGCGATTTGAGGAATCTGGAGAAGTAAAAGATAGATACCGATCAGGTAGACCGAAAAGAGTTATGAATGACAACAAAACTTTAGATATAATGCAAAGTTTTGTTGAAAATCCTCATACATCCTCACGTAGGGTTGCACAAGTACATGATGTAGGTCGTTCTTCAGTCTTACGTATATTACGTAAGAATAAATTTGAACCATACAAAGTTAACTTAATGCAAGAATAAAGTGAAGATGACTTCGATCGTAGATTAGAGTTTACTGAGGCAATGATGAATAAAATTGAAAATGATGAAAATTTCGTTAACAGAATATGTTTTTCCGATGAAGCAACCTTTACACTGTATGATAGTGTAAATCTACACAATTTAAGCTACTGGAGTGACGTAAATCGTAACGTCAGTTACGAAACGTTACTTAGAAATGAAATTGTACCTACACTGAGAAACTTGTTTGGGGCCCATTTTAATCAGATATGGTTTCAGCAGAAGCTCCAGCTCATTTTGGTGTAAATGTTCGGCATTATTTAGATGAGATATTTCCCGGACGATGGCTTGGTAGACGAGGTAGAATGGAATGGCCTCCACGTTCACCTGATTTCAATCCTAAAGATTATTTTTATCGGGGATACTTGAAAAATTCAGTTTAAAAAGCTAAACCAACTAATCTTGGAGAGCTAAGGCAACGAATTATCGTTGAATTTTGAATAATTTCTAGACAATCATGGAGAAATGTGGTAGACGCATTCTACCATCGATTAGGGTACTTTCAACTCACAAATGGAGCACATTTTGAACACTTGATAAAGTAACTATTATTAAAAAATGTCGTTATCTATCAATTGATACGTTTTAATGTAGTTGAAAATAGTTAGTATTATTAGTATTGTTAGCTTTATGTGTTTAAGACCTTCCAGACACAAAAAATTTAAAATATTTGCATTGTGTTTATGTGAGTCATGTAATGTTAACTTCAATAACAAAACAACTGAATCCCTGAGTTGCCGGCTTTAACTCTAATAGATGTTTAACTATTACCTACCAACCTAAAATTATTTATTGTAGTGAACCCAAATGTCAATAATAATCATATTCCTACATTAACGGGATACATACTATAAATAGATATTTCTTCAATAAAAGTAACTTCTTATCAAATTTTTCGTACGCCATTGGAAGATCTACAATAGCGCTGAACCGTCACTATTATTTGTAAGAATTTACTGCCTACAATTTTGATTCTTGATTATAACAGTGTATAATTATTTACTATTCTCGAAAAATTGAATTTATTTCATAATTTTGTTCTTCACTGTATATTTATTTCTTGGAAACTTATACTGTATTTTATACACATATACTTATTTCTCATTTATTGGTAATACTGATAAGAAATAATTGCTACACTTAAATATTGAGCTTTACGGAATCGTGTTTATTTTTTATTTTGATTAACTCATCTGCAGATCAATTAAATGTGACAGTTATGTGACAATTTGGCATTTTTGTCATTTATTTTTAACTAATTGTATCATAATAATACAGTTTTACTTTAAATTGTCCAACTTAGAAAAAGCTGTTTCCATTTAGTTACAGGCTATTTGTCTAATGAATCGAATATTTTCAAAAGTTTTTGCCTTAAATCTTTTGCAGAATGTACCTGATAAATGTGTAAATGTTAATTTTTCAAAATTAACCTTTCAGTTTATTCGATCATTAACTAAAAAGAGAGGTTTGTCGGAGAGTATTAGCCATTATATACGTAGTTAAACAATTTTTAGGATATTGTATAAATGCTTAGCTTTAAAAACAATCTATTAGCAAATGTATGAGATGTCTCAGTATTAAATTAATTTTTAGGACCAAATCCTTTTAACAACTACCGAAAAACATTAGAAGTAGCAGGAAAATCTTATCAATATTATGATATCGCTCAACTACATCCAAATTATGGTAAGTTAGTTTTCTATATCTATTTATTGGTTATTGTTTATAGATGTTAAACAAAAATATTTGAACTTAATATTTGGGAAGATTATAAGCAGTAAATATAAAGAGAAAACGAGAAAGCGAACAAATTGGTATATAAGAAGAAATTAAAAGCACCTTTTCAACTATAAAAAAGACAAAAGGCTATAATATTACAAAAAAAACGTTAAATCAAGGCAACTGGGAATCAAAGATATTTCAATACAGAACAAACAAGACTAAACTATTTACAATCACAACTATTTTCGTTTGAAATGGCCGTGACACCTTATTGGACATATATGTGATCACGAAGAGATTTTTGAGAGCTATGAAGATATACTTGTATAAGATCGAAACAAATTTTTGGCTATATATAAGTTATTAAAAGTGACTATTAAATAAAGACGAAATAATATGAACCGATTTGAAGAACTCTAACGCCTAGAAGAATATAAACACACATCTACAAGATTAACCGAACATGTTTTCTTTACGAATTCACCCGAATGACACCCGAAAAAGCGGCTCAAGCTGTTGCTCCTCATAATGAAGTATATTACGTATTCTTGTAATAACAGAAGGATTTGATGCACTTATATATATATATATATCAGAGAAACTGGTTCTTTCATGAGATTACCTAGGGATAGTCTAAGATGAATGACGAATGAGGAGGATATTAGCGAGGCGCAGTTCGGGTTCCAAAATGGAATGGGTACTCGAGAAGGACTATTTGCCATCAACATTAGTTTCAGCGATTTCGGGATGTAAACGTTAATCTACAATTGTGTTTTGTTGACTACGAAAAAACTTTCAATAAAGTAAGACATGAAAAACATCATATTGGAACCGAAGTGCCATAGTTCAAATTGATGGGCAACACTCAGAAGAAATCAAGATCTGTAGAGGCATTAGACAGGGATGTGTTTTATCGCCACTTTTATTCTGAAGAAATTAATTAACAACTTACGATATGCAGACGACACTATTAAGTATGAATAGCGCTGAGATGGGAATTACTATAAACGCTAAAAAAAAATATACATCACCTATTGACAATCAATGCTAACGTGATAGAACAAGTAGAAAAATATCAGTACTTGGGAACTTTGATCAATGAAACCAATGATCATACTCCAGAAATAAACAGGCGAATAGAGATTGCAAGATCAGTATTTATACGAATTAAGCCACTCCTAACATGCAAAAAAACAACAAAAAATGTTACAATGGAAGCCCATAGGAAGTCGAAAAAAAGGAAGGCCCAGAACGAGATGGTTGGATGACGTGGAAGACGACCTGAAAACAATCAACATAAGACAATAGAGAAGAAGGGCGCAAGAGAGATCTGAATGGAAGGACATAGCCAGACAGGCAAAGACCCATCCAGGGTTATGATGCCAAAAGAAGAAGAAGAACATGCAAAAATCTAAATTTGGAGATCAGACTACGTACCATTCGCTGTTATATATTTTAAATATTATTTTATGGAGCTGAGACTTGGACACGTGATGAGGGGACCAAAATATGAAATTTTGATACTCATAATATAGGGAAAGATTTATGGAAGATCTGTTGGCCGAAGGCAGAACTCATGGTTGAAGCATCTACGTGATTGGTATCAATGCAGATCGATTGATTTGTTTAGAACAGCAAATTCAAAAATAAACTTAGTCATTATGATTGCCAACCTCCGTAGGGAGACGGTCCTCTAAGAAGAAGTCTGAGATGCCACTGCAGGATCACTACGTGCATAACTCACATTTTTACATACATTTAAAATTTGGAGAATACATTAATAATACGTTGCCAGTCAAAAAGTGGCCCCAAAAAGTTTTAATTCAATTAATAATATGTAAATCATTTCATTTCAGAAAAACCACAAAACACTTTTCTCTGTAATCAAATTGGAGATCTTTGTCAGCAATTCTTTTTTTTTGTTTAAATATTAGGTTACAAATAATTATTATTTAGTGATACCTACATAAATACCTTTTGCTGCTTCATTTTTTGTTAATTTTAAAACGTTGTAAATGAATTCTTTGGTTTGATGATTAAGAACTTGTCGTTTTCGTACATTTTCCATAATTTTCTGCTTAATTTTGTTTTAGATCAACTACCCTACTCTATTAGAATTCTATTAGAATCAGCTGTCAGAAACTGCGATAACTTTTCTATTAAAGAATCCGATGTTCAAAACATTTTAAATTGGAAAGAAAATCAAGATGTCCAGGGCGGTATTGAAATCCCTTTTAAACCGGCTAGAGTTATATTACAGGTATGTAAGGTTATACAAAATAATATAGTCAAACATTTTTTTGGTTATTATGAATGAATATCTGTCAGTGCATGTTCAGTGTATATACCAAGTTTCAGATGTCGAGCTGTGTTTTTCACATTTACCTGTGAAGAAGTGGATTTACGTACCGTTATAAATGTTTCTCTAAAATTAGTAGCAGAATATTAAATAAAATTGATTTGATTCAGATCTGAATTTTTTTTATGCGATTGATTTAAAATTTCTATGCTTTAAAGCATCACAGTGACTATCATTATAGCAAAAAAATTGGAAAAGAAAATTTGTTTCGTAGCCTAACTTAAAACGACTTTCTGCAATCGAAGAAAAACTAGAAAGAAGAAACTAAGAAAAGAAACAATTTAATATGGCAATATCATCTCAGAAAACTAAAACAAATGTAGTGACCAAAGAACCAACTAGATATAAAATAGAAATTGATGGCATCAGTATTGAACAAGTAATGGAAATAAAATAACTGGAAATTACACTGTCTAGCTACGGAGATCTAGACAAAAAATTGAGAGATCAAGTACAAAAAGCCTAAAGAGGAAGACTTAGACCTATATAGAGCGAAAAACAGAGAGGTAAAGAAAAGAGTAACAAATGAAAAGAACGAACGATGGGAACAAGCATGCACAGAGATAGAACGACATATCGGAGGAACGAGCAATTCAGAATCATGGCGAATATTAAAAGCACTCCAACGAAATAAGACAGAGAAAACCCAGATCGGCAAAATTAGTGAAAACGAGTGGCAAGAATACTACGTAGAACTACTTACAGAAAACCGTCCCCAATTTCAGGAAGAGAATACAGAACATGCAGGAAATGGGACATACGACCAGATAGAAATAAGTCTGACGGAAGTCAAGAGAGCAATCAAGACATTGAAGAACAAAAAAGCCAAAGGACCCTTAGGGATACCAAACGAACTAATTAAAAAGGAACGGAAAAGTTATTCCGCATGCTACACAGAACGTTCGAAAGAGGACTAAATGGAGAGGAAATACCCGCGGAATGGACACAAGCATACATCACATCCATACATAAGAAACGAAACAGGAAAAAATGTGAAAACTACAGAGGAATTAGTATAATATCGTCGGTAGGTAGACTTTACGGGAAAATTATCAAGGAAAAACTAGAAACTGAAATAATAGGAAAAATTGGAGAAGACCAAGCAGGGTTAACAGTAGGAAAATCATGCCTAGATCATACGTACACATTAGAACAACTGATAGAGAAGAAAATGGCAAAAGGTAGACCGGTCCATCTGGCGTTTGTTGATCTAAAGAAAGCGTACGACTGAATACCTAGAGTCAAATTATGGGAAGCAATGAATGATCTCGGAATCCGACAAACACTAATAAAAGCAGTTAAACCACTGTACAAAGAAAACAAAGTAGCTATTAAATGTGGAAATAAAGCCTACAATCCATTTAAGACGGCAAAAGGACTTCTACAAGGCTGTGCTACGTCCCCTACTCTGTTTAAAATATTCTTGGAAAAGACACTCAAACCGTGGAGGAGAAAGTGCGAAGGAATGGGCATACCAGTAAGAGACGAATACCTATACGCCTTAAGTTTGGCCGACGATCAAGTAGTCATCGCACAAGATGAAGAAGATCTCAGCTTGATGCTCAGAAAACTAGAAGAAGAATATAAAAGCAACGGAATGGAAATAAACTTAGAGAAAACCGAATACCTAACAACAGAAAACAAGGATATGAGAAACCTAGAGATAGACGAGGGAAGACAAGTAAATGGAACAGATAAATTCAAGTATTTAGGAACCACAATATCGAACCAGGGAACAACAAAAGAATATATAAACAACAGACTAAGACAAACAAGAAACTGTATAAGACAACTAAACCAATAGGTGGAGTAACAACCATAGAGGTATTAATTTGCCAATGAACAAGCAGAATTGCTTATAAAGAGGAGGAAGAAGAAGAAAAACTAGAAGAGCTACTATAATTATTTATAATTCATCAGAGACACAATGGGAAGCAGAAACATAACAAAACACATAATAACTTTTTTTTTCAGTAAAATTAATTTTGCTTTCACTTATATAATTGCTTATTTATCTTCTAGGATCTTACTGGTGTACCTGCCGTAGTCGATTTTGCAGTTATGAGAGACAAAGTTAAGGAACTGGGAGGAGATCCTAAAAAAATTAATCCAAAATGCCCCGCTGATTTGGTTATTGATCATTCTATCCAGGTCGACTTTGTAAGATCGTAAGTATGTTTCTGTAAGCAATATTTTTATAAAAATAGCTCAATTTTTTTGTTAAGTATCGACAATTTATTCAAAAAATCGCATCAGCATGACATCAATCTAGTCAAAATGTCAGGATTTCATTTTTCCGATGGGGGTAGTTTATAGAATTTATTATAGCTGAAAGTATTTTTTATTAAAAATTCATATTTGTCTGATTAAACGATTACTTTACCTTAAAGATGTTTGCGCCGAGCTTTAGACATCCTGTTCGATGTCTTCTTCAGGGCTTCCGACGTCTCAGTCTCCTGAGTCCTCATTCTTGATCACTAACCAAAGCATTACTACAGTCTTCTTCTTCTTAGAGTGCCATATCCCTACGGAACGTCGGCGACTACCATGCTTATAATATTATTATACTGATCTCGGTCTTGGACTACGTGTAGCAATTGGTCCGCTGTCAAACCTGTCCACTGCCGCAAATTTCTCAACCAAGAGAGGTTCTTCCGTCCTATCCATGTCTTTCCTTCGATTTTACCGTTGAGAATTAGCCGAAGGAACTCATATCTTGGTCCTCTGATTATATGTCCAAGATATTCTAGTTTACGCCTCTTAATAATATTTAATAGAGTTCGTTGATGTCCCATTCTTCGAAGAACTTCTTCGTTTCTGGTTCTGCTAGTCCTTGGAATTTTTAGTATCTTTCGATACAACCACATCTCAAACGCCTCGATTTTATTCATGATATCGGCGGTTCATGATATATGCAGATGTTCATGATATGAACATCCTGTAAACTTTTCACGGATTTACAAATTTAATGAGTTATTGGATAATAGAGGCTTGAATTTTTGAAATGAGTTTCTTGCCTGTTCAATTCTACATCGAATTTCGAAGGATGGATCTAGATTTTGGGTAATCCAACATCCAAGGTATTTGAATCTCTGAACTCTCTGCAGCGGTTGTTGGTTTAATATCAGTTGGGTTGCGCCGATATCCACTTTACTGGTCACTATGTATTTAGTTTTATCGATATTTATCGACAGTCCCCAATTTGTGCATTCCATGTCAACTTTATTGATTAGCTCCTGCAGATCGTCGATGTTTTCAGCTAGAATCACAGTATATTCGGCGTACAATCTATTGTTAATTATTTCTCCTCCTATGATAATTCCTTTTTGATCTTTTAAAGCTTCCCTAAATAGATTCTCAATCTTACTACACTAATTACAGTGATTCTTTGATTTGTGATCAGTGAAATAGTGTCCAGTTATATCCTCTCCGCTTCTTTTTTTTTTCCTAAAATATTTATGTATTTTACGCATATTTGATTTATTGGTGGCTATTATAGTATTTTTCACATAGTTCACTTCTGATTAATGTTCTAATTATAACCTTCGAAGTAATCTTTATATATTTATTGCATTCTTTTTAAAATTTTGCTTTATTACGAAAACTTATTTGTCATAGGAATACGGCTTGTGGCGTTGGTCATTACAATATTCCAGTTATTATTAGTTATTAATAACTAATTATATATACAGTTTATGAGTAAAGTGATTAATAATTGATCACTAATAAAGCAAATTTCCCAAAAGTTAATATAATTCATTCATATGTACATTATGTAAATATTAAAAAAGAAATGTTTGGAACCATTTTTTTGAAAAATTTTTCTGTAAAATTATCTGAATGATAGTGCATATATAAGCACAAAGGATTAATAAAATTGCAGCATTTAAATTGCCATAAAATGGAAATAATGCATATTATCAAGACTTTTTTTTACTCACGAATTTAAAATTAGCTTATTAATTTATTAAATAACAAATGGTATTTTATGAAAAAATACCAGCAAATATTTGATTTCACGCAAACAAATCCTATGTATCTGTTGATACGTATTTCGACCTAATAGGTCTCGTCAGAACAGCTATTCATAGCAGTTCTCAACGTGAAAAATCAATATTTTCTGCCTTTTAAGAAGCAACAATAACATGGCTTCAATACGGACGCGCTAGCGACATCTAATTACAAAAATCGTAAAATAGTTTCGAAACACAATTCAGATTTCTGCTTTATAATCTGAGCCTTCTAAAAATTGCAAGGCAAACAGACGTTGATAAAAGATGTTACAAATGGTATTTTGTTCAAATTATACGTGTATAAAATAGAAAATGAAAAAGTACTCGTCGAATATGTTTTAACAAATCTTAATTTGAGATAAACAAAGGAGAAAACTGGAAACTAATAAAATTTGACAATTGTAGAAAAAATTGACGACGTTGGTCAAGATGGACGCCAAGGTATCTAGCATCTGTTACTGTTTGTATTATTACATTTTCCATTCTTATAGGTGGACATATGTTATGTGTTGTGACGGTTGGTAAATGTTATTTGAGTTGATTTTGTTTTGTTTACTTTTGTTCTCCATTTTATATACCAACCACTGAGTATGTTCAGATGATCTTGCAGGTATTTGTGAGGCTTGTAAGGGATCTTCATTTACAGCTAGTATTGTTACGTCTTCAGCAAAGGAAGCGATTGTAGTATGAGGTCTCCCAATAAGAATGTCCTGATGTTTTTTTAAAAGAAAACGGCAAAAGTTGCTGTAAATAAAAAAAAAAGAATTTTATTGTAAAATATAATAGATAACCATTATGTTCCGAATAACACATCATTCAAATGTCCACCGCAACTAAGTTTGCAGGAACGAATCAAATGAACCCAATTTTCGGTCACTTTATGCAAAATATCCGCATTAATCTCACGAATGGTGTGCTCTATGTTTATTTTCAAGTCTTCAATAGATTGTTGTTTGTTCCTTTACTAAAAACTATAATTCCTTGTTTATTTTTATATCTCTAATTTATGACAATTTAGAACAAATTTCTTGGGTCTATAATTTAATATTTATTGCATTAAGAATCTAAGGAGGTTGTTTTTAAAAGATACAAAGAAACGTATTCGTTTTTTACTTAATTATTATTTATTCTTCTAGGGCTGATGCGTTACAAAAAAATCAAGATCTGGAATTTGAACGAAACCATGAGAGGTTTACATTTTTAAAGGTAAGGCGTTAGATTTATAGAAACGTATTTACAATTTTCTTATTTAGGTTTATTAAAATGTTATTACTCATATAGTGAAAAAATTCATACTTAGTTGACAATTAAAAATTTAAGTATCATGTCACCGAGTTTAAACAGATCTACAATAGGTAATAAACATTTTACGGTACTATAAATGATTAATTAGGTGATTGGATTGAATAATTACGTGAAAACTATTGCATTTTGTTACTTGTATTTTTAACACGTTCATTATTCCTTTAAATAAATATTTTGTGAAGGCAATTTATCTCGTTGATAATAAAAAATTGGTTTAAAGGCTTAATTAGCAGAATAAATGCATTGAAGGACGAAACACAACGAGGAGATAATCAACAGCCAGAAAACTACAGAGGTAGATACTTTAGAGGTGGGCTAAATATCACTGCCATGTGATTTAACAGCTGTGATTAGAAAATAACAATCACAACCTGTGAATAACAACAAAATATACTGTGACTGTGATTGTGATTTCGGTCTTATTCTATGTCTGTAGTTCTTGATCGCTAAAACGTGATATATCACGTTTTCGTCACAGTCGTAAAGTTGTGAAATAAGAGACGTGTAACAGAATAACAAGGAACGAGATAGAGGTTGTCGGCGCATTGGTGGTATTGTGAAGTCTCTTTGTAATGGGGAATGCAAAGGCAAAGATAATATTATATCGTCTTTGGAGGAATATGAACATCGCTAGTTTAGTGTAATATTAGTACGTAAACAAGTATTATTTAAAGAAACTGAAAAGGGTATTTAGAATTTCAGTTTATTGAATTTGTGTAACTTGTCGTACTTATATCGATATTCAATAATTTTTTGTCTGACGGCTGCCATTTGTCTGACGGCTGTTTAACGGTATTTAACGGCACTTTATTTTACATTGCACTCTAGTTTACAAAGATTGTAGTTTACAAAAGTATTTAACCAACACTAACTAACTAACTAAAGCGTGTATATTTTTACATCAATTTTTCAGTCTTGAGTGTGTAACTAGTGTTCGGCACAGTAACCGATAGAGAATGAACTGAGATGTGAACTGTTTACCACAAAGGCCAAGCAAGAAGCCTCAGAATGCCGCTTTGAATCAAGCTTTTATAGGGACAAACAACTGCCAAACTTTCAACCGTCGTAACGAACTTTTCATGTCCCAAACAGTTGGTTCTAAAAATCCACTTTTTTATACATTACGAAGAAACTGCATAAAAACAATAAAACTAAAGATTTATGCCTTTACGAGTTCCGATATTGTTGACCCAGTTCTAGGTAGATAAAAAACTTATTTCTTGTAACGAATTCGGAAGGCGGTTGAAGGAGCAAAAAACATTACGACTAGTTGTGGTCGTAAAAATGATAATTTTTTATATTAAAAGGAGAAGAATTGGCGCTAAAATAAAATAACGAAGTGTGTTAAATATTTAAATAAGCATCATGTTTTTAACGAGAGTCGGACGAGAAAAAACACTCGTTTCATTTGAGTTGAAATATATCTACAATAAGAGAATATATTTTCATGTTTTCTTATTAATTATTGTAACATAATAATGAAGAATTATTAGGTATGTTAGGACTTAAACAAGATGAATGCAAAATTTTCATGGAGACCTTTACAAAAAATGTGATGCGTTCAAAAATTTAGTAATATATAAATGTATTATCATTTTTGACGTAATTTTGTTTTTTATTTGTAGTGGGGCGCAAAAGCCTTCGACAACATGCTCATCGTTCCACCAGGCAGCGGTATCGTCCATCAAGTCAACTTGGAGTATTTGGCCAGAGTTGTTTTTACTGAAAATTCCCTTTTATATCCTGACACTGTGGTAAGTAATATATACTTTAATAAATTATCCGATAATTAAAAATTTTACATTGATAAAATCTTGTTCACTAATTCCATCGCTCGTTGCTAGAGGGGATTAAAACGGGAACATCAGGAGAGGCAGGTCACAAACAAAGCAAAAAACAGAAATATGGTAGCAGAAAAAGGTAATAACTACAAAAGCAAACTGCAATAAATAAACTGCCTTACCTTAATAAAGAATGCTGGAGTGAGAATACTTTATATGATTTCTAGCATTATAAGGTTGCCTTAGATGTCCCCTTAGAAACAGAGAAACTAAGATGACTTTAAATGTCTAAACTTATTCGAAATGTGGATTTATCGATGGATGTTACGAACGAGTTAAGTAAGCAAAATAACTAAGAGATATTAAACAGCATGTACTCAAGCTCGTATCTAGTTAGGTAGTATTGAAGATAGGCAAGATTGAAGATAGGAAGAAACAAAGATGAGATTAGTAAGATGAGGACTGCTTCCTTAATTTTTCTTTGTTTATTACCTGTTTTTTTTTCAGAAACATTCATCCATCTTTCCATTGCACTTTGTTCATTGTCCCAAGCATTTTTACATATTTGTTACCCATCAAATTCTCTGGTTTAATGTAAAATTCATGCTCATTTATCCTAATACTTAATGGTCTGGAAGTTTCACCCAAATAAAAAATTGTCACATTCACAAGGTATTTGTAGGTTTAGTCCATTTGTAGGTTTACATAAAATAGACCTCAGTGTACTGATTGTTTTAAATATAGTAACGTTTGTATTTCTTTACTGTCCTTTTTAATTTTTTAGCTTTTACTCGTAGTATTGTTTTCTTCGAATACTTTCTTGTAAATGTTTCAGGATGCTTTTAATATTGTGTCGTTTCAGTTCTTTCATCTTTTTGAAAGTCCTTATTTATAAGTAACAATTATACATATTATGTATTATATTCAGTAAAAATCGCGCTATGAGGAGTCTAAAGACACTGGCTGTCATAGCTTATTACACTTCTTTCAAGAAATTTCTTTTCTCAACATATAATTTTTTATGTATTATATATTTATTTGTTTTAGGTTGGTACCGATTCCCATACTACCATGATCAACGGTTTGGGTATTGTAGGTTGGGGAGTAGGCGGTATTGAAGCAGAAGCTGTTATGTTGGGTCAGTCTATCACTATGTTGTTGCCTAAAGTTGTTGGTTACAAGCTGTATGGAGAATTAAACGAATATGCTACTTCTACTGATCTTGTCCTTACAATTACAAAGGTTTGTATATTATATACAATATTAAAAAGTGTTTCGAGTGGTTGCGGTGTATTAGTGGTCACCTAAATCATTATTATATATTATTTTAAAAATTGTATCAATAATATCCTCATTAGTCAGTATTTAAACTTAATATGCCTGCAATAAATACTCTTTTTTTTTTAGTTTTGCTTCCTATTATATTTCAGATAAGATTCACGATAAGATTAAAATGTAAGATATGCATTATAATAATAAGTTAAGATAATTTTTACATTATATTTTTAAATTTTTATCTTAACTAATAAGTTAAGATATACATTTAAAAATAGTATATCAATATAAAGATTATTTTTGCTATTACGAAAATAAATACATTTATATGCCATTGAATTAAAATTATTTTTCGGTTAAGCTCCTTTAAGGTGCTGTGTGCCCCTTGCTTTGACACCTGACACTATTTTGTAATATAGAGCTCTCAGCCTTCTCGAAGACGATAGGATTAGTTTACTTCCGGATATTTATTACTAATTGCGAGGAACCATCAAAAAATGGTCCTGATGAAATTCCACGTGAAATATACAAGCTTATAAATGATAGCAATGTTTTTGAGGCTATAACTTCGTTTTCAGTACCATTTATATCAGCATTGTTCATAGCTCTACCTAAGAAAACAACAGCAAAAACCTGTACTGATTATAGAACCATCAGTTTGTTAAGCTATTTATTGAACCATGGCTGTATCTATAAATATCTATATAAATATTAAATGTATCTATAATAAATGCGAGGAATACCTAAGTGACACGGTTTCCGTAACGGTTTTGGAACGAGAGAGGCGTTGTTTGGGATGAACATACTTGCTCAAAGATGTGATATATCTGAAGACATGCACTGTTGTATTGACTTCCAAAAGGCATTTGATCGTGTTAAACACTCTATATTGATCAAAATTTTAAGAGACATTGGCTTGAATGCAAGAAACGTTCGCATAATTTCAAATTTATGTTAGAATGAAACAAGATCAGTTTTACTAGAAGGTTTGGAATCACATGCTCCTAATATTAAAAGAGGAATACGGCAGGGATGCAGGTTGCTAACCAATGTCCGAAACAATAGGACTTTTCATCAGCCGCCATGTTTTTCGTACAGACAGATTTGACAATGACGTATAATATATTATATTATACGTCATACGTTAATAAATTTATTTAAATTTTTTTTAAATAAAAATTTCTATTTTATAAAGAAATAAAGGCTTTCGAAAATTTTTAAAATAATGTATGTGTATTGTCTTTAAATGATTTACAACGTATATCACTCTTACAATATGCCATAGTAACACCGATTCGTTGTTCCTTTTCGTACAGATATCATAGATATTAATAATCGATTAAAAAAATTGATTTGCTAATTATTTTTTCCAATAATAAGACTTTCTTTGGTATTTTTAATATTAATTATCTACACTTCATCTAATTTATATAACGATGCACGTCATCGGCGTCATAGCCTGTGACGTTACATGATACCAACACAAAATATTTAGGGTGTAGGTGTGTTCTTTTTTAGAATCACTTTACCGAGTACACTGGCATTACAGCCACTAGACATATTTTATTATATGCGCGTAGAAATAATATTTAAAAATTTCTATTAATGTTAACTTAAAGAAATACACAATAATATGTTTCATTTGATTTGTATAAATGCATTATAAAGCGTTTTTATCAAGAACATTTGTTCGGAACACACTGTAACTGTAATCGAACAAAGCTAAAATTTTGGCATAAATTGGTAACACTTATTTGACAGTTGCGGTGTTGACACTTTTTGTACTTCATTATTTTGAATTTTAAAGTGAATATCTCTTGTTTTATATTTTTAACTATTTAATAAAATCTGTTCTTTTTAGAACAAAATTAGTGTGTTTTATTTTAAAAATGTCACGTAAGAATTTAAATAGTCGTTGTAAAGAGATGGTAATACTTTTGCAATAATTATGTAATCTATTTGATTTAAAATGGAGTCAGGATTTTTTTATACTTTGGCAACTATGTCAACTTCGATCTCTGACGTAGATAATGACGTAAGTCGTTATCTAAATTAGATGAAGTATATATTATTTACATTACGAACCTAACCTGTTTGTTTAAAAAAGTCTGTTCGAAAACAGTGCCAACACGATTTTTTGATGAAAAGTCCTATTTAGTTAGAAGACCGCCATCATGGCTTCATGCTCTAGAATGAACCGCAAAGGAGGAAGGTTCAACATAATCTCAATGGCTACCCTAGACGCATTTCTTATCGATTCCATTACTATACTATACTAAATACTAATACTAAAATATATTTAATATTTCTAGCATCTACGTCAGTTGGGAGTAGTGGGAAAATTCGTTGAATTTTATGGTCCAGGTGTCGCTGCTTTGTCTTTAGCCGATAGAGCCACCATTGCAAATATGTGTCCCGAATACGGAGCTACAGTAGGACATTTCCCCGTCGATTCCAACTCTTTGGATTACTTAAGGCAGACAAGTAAGTATACATAGTCAAAAAGTTTGTCGTTAAAAAGTTGGAGAGTTGGCTTAGTTGGCTGGTATCAATCCTTTGGACAACGTCCATTTTTTCGAGCGGGGATCTTTTGTTTCGCTCACATCTGCTGATCATCCATTCTTCTTTGGCTTTCCTGATTTTGTTTTGGATGGTTCTCTGGGTTTCTTTATATCTACCTCATTGCGGTTTTTGTAAGATCTTCTTACGTCCACCAGTTCTATGTATTTCTATAGATCTCTATTCTACGTATTCTTTGTTTATCTCATAAAAATGTTTGTATGTCCAGATCCAGGCCACATAACTTCACTGACTCCGAGATTGTTGACTCCTATTCTTTTCATTTATCTCATGATGTTTTTCCTGGCGTAAAGAGAGATTTTGCATTCCAGGTTCCAGTTGTCAATGTGTCATTCTTGTTTTTCACTTTCGGGGGGTTCCTAGCATTTAACGTGGGGATTCTTAGCAGCCCTTGACCATTTAAGGTCTGCCACGGACTAAGGGCCTTTTGTTTTAGAAGTACCTAATTCCAAGCCTATTAAGAAGTCATTCTTCTCCAGCCTTGGAGTTAGTAATGGCATAGCTGCTGCCCTATACCATGTCCTTGGTTGATCCGCGGGTGCTTTTTTGGCGAACCTTATTCGCACATATCCTGAATAATATACAGGACGTCCCCTATCAGCCACATGGGACGCGTCATGTTGGGTTGAGGACTTTCCCGCTCAGTCACCACCCAAAAGAAGAAGGGCATATTCTAAAGTTTGCTCCAATTACGATTCTTTAGATGAAATAGAATAGAAATACTAGATACAATTGTGATTCTGTGTGCTTTTATTTTTGGTAATTTTTGATATTTTGATTTTTGATATTTTAAAAGTCAAATAAAAATTAAATCAACACCTTTTATTAATATAGATCGCTCCGAGGAACAAATTCAGGTCATAGAATCTTACTTAAAAGCTACCAAACAACTCAGAAATTATACATCGGAAGCTACTGATCCCGTTTTTAGCGAGACTGTTGGATTGGATTTATCGACTGTCGTTTCTTCTGTCAGCGGACCTAAGAGACCTAATGACAGAGTTTCAGTAGTTGATATGAAGAGAGATTTCACCGAATGCTTGTCCAATAAGGTAAGTAGTCTTTACTTTCGTATGGAAATACCATATTTTTGAACAGAAATTTACTAGTAATTAAAAAATATCCAATTAATATAAAATATGAATGAATAGACCCTAGAAAATCGCAAACAGTAATTTATGTTACTTTATTTAATGTGAATAAGCCACAATTTTAATTGAAAATTAGTTGTATTTGACGTTACGGTCGTTTTGACAAAATCATTCCGTGGTGTAAATCGAAACGCCAAGTATACAGTATTTGCAATGAAAATGGTGGCTCATTCCTATTAAATATACAAGATACCAGAAATAAAACAATAAAATTCTTTCAGAATCATAGTAATTTATGGGAAATCCTAGGTTGAAATGTAGAACATGGAGAACGCACAACACTAATAATATAAGTATGCGATTATGTAGGGTTGGGATAAAATATGGAATCAAGTAAATACAGTATTGTGCGAAATAATGGAATCACTGTGAATTTTTTTTCATTTTTTCAATATTCACAAGAAAATGTTTTGGGGATGTTTTTCATACATGGGGGTTGGATCTTTGGTGCCAATTGAAGGCATGATGAACAGCCGAAAATACAAATCCATGTTGGAAAAGTATTTGGACAAACAACTCCAAAAATGTCAACCCCAAGGAGGAGCGATTCTTCAACAGGACTCTGCTCCCTGTCACAAATCAAAGGAAATGATGGCATTTTTCAAAAATAAGAAGATTAATGTTTTAGATTGGCCCGGTAATTCGCCCGACCTCAACCCCATTGAAAATTTATGGCCATTTGCAAAGCTAGACTGCGAAAAATCGACAGTACCACTAAAACAAAAATGATAGACGCGGCCATTCAGGTTTGGTATCGAGATGAAAGGATATCTGACAACTGCCAGAAACTCATAGAATCTATGCCAAAACGGGTAAAAGCAGTAATTGCTGCCAAAGGGGGAGATATTTCCTACTGAATGATGTAAGTTTACCTTTATAGTTTTGTCAAAATATAATTTTTTACTAAATAAACTGTTTTTTTTATTAAAACAACCTATGATTCCATTAATTCGCACAATACTGTATCTTTGAAACGAAAAATACGATATTCATGCAAATACAATGATATATAACTCATCTGATGCCATATTTTTGTTACTATTCTACTTCTAGTTTCACTGGAAACACCCTCAAGATATTTAATTTAAATGGGTCACCTGTATATTTTTGCATATTTTTAAAAAACTTGTTATTCCTAATTATCATACCAAGTGTGATAGATAATCCAGTTGTCAGAGATGAAAAATGCCACTGAACCTCTAAAAATCATACGAATTTTAGCTGAAAAGCCAAAAATATTAATTTTGGGATTTAAAAAAAAAAATGAAAAAAAGTTTACCACTTTTACCTTCGGGCTTCCACGTCGAAAGGGGGTAAAAACGCAAAAAAAATCGATTTACCAAGAATCTACGCCATAGAAAAATATATTTCAAATAAAAAATGTAGCTGAGATACTTTAAAAAAAAATGTTTATTAGCACTTTTTCTGAAGAATATACTTAGTACTTACTCTTTTGAAGCGACCGTCGATTTTGAATGTCAGTTACATACGCGAAATCAATGTTCAATAAAATTTGTATCAGCTCGACGGTAAAAATTCGATATCTTTTGATTCAAATATCCTATCGACAAAAATCAAGATGCGTTTTAAAGGTAAAGAGTTCGTCTTTCTTATCCAATTTTTGTATTTTAACGCAAATAAACTCAGATTTTATAAAGGTATTAAATGAATAAACGTGACGCAATTTTTGCTATTTTTTATGATGCTCATGAGTTCAATACAATATATGCCTTTCATTGACTGGTCACTATAAAGTTTCGATTACTAGAGCCTAAGCTTTAAACCCTATATCATGAAATTTTAGTTTTGAATTTTGGCAACATATGTGAGGCATTTGAAATACGCTTAAAATCGCTGGATTTTAACTTTTACATAATAAACGATCTAAAACATTTAAAAGTTTTTTTTTCAATTGAACTAGCACGTTTTTCAAAAGAACCAAATTTCTACTATAAACTACTCCCAAAACCGTCTTCTTGAATGCATTTCCCGTGACTTTCGATTATTTGTAATGTAAAACATTAAATTCTGCGTTTTTTATTCATATTTCAAATGCCGCATATTTTTTGCTAAAACTCAAAATTATAATTTCATATTATAGGTTTTAAAGATTGATATCTCTAAAAATATAAATTTTGCTACGACTGATCAATGAAAGTGATCAATTTTATTGATGTCACGAGAGTCATAAAAAATGACAAAAATCGCGCCACGTTTATTTATTTTTTTTTTTTGGGTCCCAAAATTAATATTCCCGGCAAAATTCAGCTTTTTCGTATGATTTTTAGGGGTTAACTCTCTGACGAGTGGAGTAAGAAGATAATTTGTCAAATCGAGAAATAAATCACTTTACAGTTAAATAATATGTACATTTATTTGCCAAGCTCATAGAGAATAATAATTTAAAAAAAAATCACTTCAAATGTTCAAAATCCTTACAAAAGTTCACATCCTCGCAATTTGTAAGGCTATTAATTTATTTACCAGTTTAATAATGCGCAGGATATTATTTTGCAATCTTTGGAGGATTTTAAGCTTTGAGTTACTAACAGCTCCCCAGAGTTCTATGCCGTATGTACAAATCGGCTTTAGGATTGATTTGTAGATTAGGATTTTATTTTCTATTTTTAATCTGGATTTCCTGCCAGTCAGTCATTACATTTTCTGCAGTTTTAATCAAAATTGTTTACGTTATGTAAGAACGTGTCATTACGTCATACGTCGATCTAAATGCATCTTCTTATTTACGTGCCATCTCCTCTAAAAAGGTTGGCAACCATCATGGCAATTCGCACTTTCGCCGCCGCTGCTCTAAAGAGGTCAGCAGAAGTGCAGTTAAACCAAGCTCTCAAATTATTCAACCAGGAGATGCGTCTTCTTCCGCGACTCCTTCTACCCTGTATTCTTCCTTGCATTATTAATTGCAACAAGTTAATAATGCTCGCCCCTCATAACATATCCCAGATATTGCAGTTTTCTGACAACCTAAAAGCATACCAAGGTACTTTACATCATTGGTTTGTTGAAGCTGTAAACCATTCGTTGTGGCCAGTGGGCAGGTATGACTTTTCATTGTGAAGGTTACATGTTTAAATTTGGGTTTATTTGCTTTTATTTTCCATTTGTTCAGTCAAAGTTCAATCTTGTCCTGACAATTTTGTAGGTTTTTCCGTTTTCGTAGCAGTGTCTGCATTTTGATGTGATGCTACTATTACAATATCATCTGCGAATGTACCTACTGTCGTTAAGTTTCTTTCTGGGAAACAAGTTACTTATCCGTATATTATTAATAAATACGTAGATCATGGTCAACCGAAGAATAGAACACCAGATTGTGAAATACTCAGCAGTGTCGGAAAGAGTGATATATCTTGTAATACAACTGAATAAACGATATAGCTTACAGATAATACACTGCTATGCTCCAACTTCCACTGCAGATGACGAGTCAATTGCACAACTCTACGAAGATATAACGCGAGCTAAAGACCTAGAAAAAACACACTATGTTATCATCAACGGAGATTTTAATGCAAAAATAGGGCGGCGAATACCAGGTGACTCAGACTACATAGGAAATTTCGGTCTAGGCAACAGAAACACCAGAGGAGAGACATTAGCAAATTACGTAAGCACCGAAAAAATGTTTTGTCTGAACACGTTCCATAAAAAAACAAATACAAAGAAAGTGGACATGGCGTAGCCCTGACGGTCAGGTTAAGAATGAAATAGATTTTATCCTTTCCAGTGATAGAATATGTAAAAACATCGAGGTATTGAACAAATTTAACACCGGCAGTGACCATAGACTAGTTCGTTCTGATATACGTATTAACGTAAAGAGAGAAAGACGAAAACTATTAACAACAAACCCTTTACCGATGGCAGACATCCTAGCCAGTAATAAAGAGAAATACCAAGAGGAATTAGCACGAAAACTAGTAGCAAATACCTTTGAGCACAAGAATATAGATGAACTAGCTGAGAAAATAACTAAAGACATACAAACAGTCACTAAGAAACTTTGTTGCAGAATAAGAAAACAAAAGGAAGCTAAACTAAAACCCGAAACTCTAGAACAGATAGAGAAAAGAAGAAGAACGAACAGAGATAACCCGGACTATAAAGCGCTCAACAGAAGCATTAAGAAAAATTTTCGAAAAGACCTCAGAGTTTATAGAACAAACCAGATTCTTGAAACCATAGAAAACAATAAGAACATGAAAGTACTAAAAACATGTAAATCCACTGGCAGGAATAAAATCATAAAGATAAAATTCGACCGTGGAAGAACATTGTGCTCGCATAAGGAAGAGATCGTTAGAGAAATCCGAAAATTTGATGAGAAGCTGTATACGTCTACTATTCCGAACCCCGGTATACCAACAAAACATATCTTAAATGTGGGCTCAGAGGACTTCCCTGAAATAATAACATCAGAAATTAGAGCCGCCCTAAAAGAAATGAAAAATGGGAAAACACCAGGAGAAGATAAAATTATTTCAGAGATGCTAAAAATGGGAGGCACTGCATTAGAAGAGGCAATAAGAGTATTACTTAATAAATGCCTATTGGAAGGACAAATACCGAAGACATGGAAAAATGCGGAAGTCATTCTACTCCATAAAAACGAGGACGCCGCAAATATAGAAAATTACCGACCAATAAGCTTATTGTCACATCTTTACAAACTACTAACCCGAATAATAACAAATAGATTGACAGCTAAACTAGATGCATACCAACCAGTGGAGCAAACAGGCTTTCGTAAGGGTTTTAGCACTATCGATCACTTGCAAACAATTCGGACCATTATTGAAAAAACAATAGAGTACAACATACCACTACATCTGGCATTTGTCGATTATCACAAAGCATTCGACAGTATCGAGAAATGGGCT